CATGAACTACTCGCAAACAAACTCGGTTAAAGCTTGATCAAAACTCGTTTGTTAAGCTAACAAACAAGTTTGAACAAAAATTTTAAGCTCGTCAAATAAATGAACAAAGCTCGAACAATATCATGTTCGACTCGGTAATGTTCATGAACAGCTCGTTTAATTCCATTTATAAGTTTTTTTAATGTCCGATTAAAACTCGGACAATTTATATACCTTTTATTCATATATATTTGTAAAAAGTACTAATTATTTCATCATGTAAAGGCATGAAAACTCCATTGAGTTAAAATTTGAAAAAAAATATTTTTAATAACAAATTAAGGCTCGTTTATTTAGTCAAGCCCGATTTAATCCCGTTCAAGCTCGAACTTAAACTCGAAATACAAACGAGTATGTTCGTGAACAAAGCTCGAACAAGCCAAATTCTTAACGAGCCTAGCTCGAACAAGATTTTTAAAAAACTTGTTCAAGCTCGAGATAGTTCGAACACGAATAATTCTTATCAAGCTTAGCTCGAACAGACTGAAACTCGGCTCGGCCCGAATCGTTTGTAGCCCTAATTAAGATGTAAAACTTTCAACTAAAAGGATTTGTCCTAATAAGTGATTAAGAAACAATTAGCTTAATTAGTGTTTAAAAAAAAAGATTTAGTTAGAACTCTGTATAAAAATATTTATATTTTATCTTTACGAGTAATTCAATTATTATTAAAAGGTCTTATTAATTGAAACTCTAGGCTAATTGATCATCACTAATTAGTTCATCAACTCATGAGAGGACGAAACATATAGATATAGTTTGTCTTATCATTTAAAAGAACGCGAGTATGCTTCATTATAATCAATAATTTTATCAATATATTAGAGCGAGAATCAAAGGTATCTCAGATTAAAAAAAAATACGGAGTAACATGCATGTTTAGGTTTTTCATCACAACAATAATGTATTATGTAATTAAGCAAGATAAAAGGGTTATGAATTCGACCACCTTTTTGGTTTTTGATTATCTAAACTTAAGCATATCATGTTTAAAGTGAATTTCATTATTTCATGTATCCAAGAGTTCAACACTAGCAACATACTCCCTCCGTCCCTTAATTAGATTCCTACTTCTAGCATTTATTCCTCACATAATAGAGAGAAGTAGGAATCTAATTAAGGGACGGAGGGAGTACATGCACCGTTAGGCCATGTTGTGTTCTATACATGCATCGTGAGGGCCCTATCGTGTTCTATCAGACTTATTTTCAATTCAGTTCGATTCAGTTCAACTTAGCTCATTATTTTATTTCAATCCCGCTTAGTTATGTTCAATGCAGCTCAACTCATTATGCTACTTCAATCCAATTCAGTTAAGTTCAACTCAAAAAGAACAGAGCCTAGTGTGAAAATGCTGGAGGGAGAGCATCATTCTGAAGACTCCTAGGTGTAACATACATTTGTTGGCCATTTTAAGCTTCAACTTGATCCGTATCTGTTGGGAATATAGGAAAATATATTATTGTGATATATTTTCCATATATATCTTATGATATTATATTTAGGATAATAATATATCTTAGTGATATTCTAAAATAGATTTATGGAAGTTTATATGATAGAGTTTATATTGTGTAGGTTATCTTATGTAGGCTATAAATATTAGCCAAGATCATCAATACAATTAAAACTATTCTCTCATAAATAATTTGTCATGGTATCAAGAACAGGTTAAATCTTGGGACCGTTCACACAAATTCTCTCCCTGCCGGTGGGTTAGAATATTAAACCCACCGGTGGGATTCATAAATTTGCTTCCGCTATGCAATAGTATTGCTCTTTGAAATTTCTATTTTTTTTATTTAATCTTTTTTTTTTTGGAATAACCATGTGATACGTGATCAATATGAATGGTCATATGTGATTTGGTTAGGTTGTAGTGTTTGAGTGTGCTTCCTCCATTATTGCATCTCCAAGGAGATGAAGAAAAGCCATGTTTGGCGTATTATTTATTATTTAAAAAAAAAATGCAAAAGACACGGACACCAACAAAGGGTCTGGCAAAGAAGATCACGGACACCAGCAAAGGGCCGTGGCAAAGAAGATTACGGACACTAGCAAAGGGCCGTGGCAAAGAAGACCACGGACACCAGCAAAGGGCCGTGACAAAAGACCACGGACACCAGCAAAGGGCCGTGACAGAAGACCATGGACACCAGCAAAGGGTCGTGGTAGCAAAAGTTCTTTTTTTTTAAATAAAAAAAAATTGAAGGCGACATCAACAGAGTAGTGCAACTCGATCAACTTCAACAAAGTGCGAATTTCCAATCATAACGTTCGTGTTACTGCCGTTACGATTGCGGGAGGGTGTTGGGAATATAGGAAAATATATTATTGAGATATATTTTCCATATATATCTTATGATATTATATTTAGGATAATAATATATCTTAGTGATATTCTAAAATAGATTTATGAAAGTTTATATGATAGAGTTTATATTGTGTAGGTTATCTTATGTAGGCTATAAATATTAGCCAAGATCATCAATACAATTAAAACTATTCTCTCATAAATAATTTGTCAGTATCGGGCTTAAATTATCAACGAAACAATAATGCAAAAGGGGCGGTAGTATAACCACGGTTATTGTAAAATTCACATAATGTTGATGGATGGATGGATAAATGATTGAGGGATTCGTATCTATCTTTGCAATGATAAGTAAGAATAGCTGATGTGCATGCATGCAATGTAATATGAGTGATATATCTTGAAGCAGCTTCTTTCAACCAGCGTTTAAATTTGAACGTCATCAATTCATTTTCATGTGGTGGTCCTTATTTATGGCCGTACCCCCGTCTCAGATGGCAACATCAGGTCCATCTTCTCCACAAAACCTTTTTTTTTCTTCTTTCTCTCATTTGTCCATTCGAGGGTTACATAAGGCAATTAACCATGCATTATTCAAAAATTAACATTTTACATGCATGCAAAATTTATGAACTCCCCAAAAAGCGTACCTAAGTTCTTCGTCAATGATAACTCAATCATGTATATTAGTCCTTACTTCTTTTGTTAGAATGCAAACATAAAGATCTTGGTAGTAATCAATGCATGTTGAAGATTTTCCATACAACGGTTGCGAGCAATCTACATATGATGGGATCTATTGGATCAGAGTTACAAAGAAAATTAATTGGTTGTTTTTTAACATTGTGTGAGCTAGATATACAACATTCTAAATTAAATTTTTTATTCGGTCATAAGATAAGATGAAACTGTTATTTGTTCTCTTCCACTCTCAAAATTATGAATTATTTAAGACAATTTAGAAATTATTAATTAATCCCCCCATGCATCATATCATGATGCTCGATTTCTTTCTTTCTTTCTTTTTTTTTTTTTTCAATTCCTTCTTATACAAATATACACCGGATACTCATAAATTTAGCACTGAAATAGACAAGGTACATGTAATCTAATTTTGAGGTACATGTAATGTTTATAGACTTTGTTCATTAAAGGTTATGTAGTCAATAATTCCATTAGTTTATCCTTTGCATCATCATCAACTGTAAGCCGGAAAAAAGAAAAGGGAAGAAAAGTATGTAGCATCAAAAGTGCAGATTAAAAGAAGCAATTATATGAAAGCAAACATTTTCTACATACCTAAAGAACATTCTCCATCATCGGCCCAATCCTCTCCCTAGTAAGGACAACCATAGATAGCGCCACACATTCGCTGGTGCTAATTACTTTATTTAACTTCTGATTAATCTTAATTTTCTTTGAGATGAAGATACATATATGGTAACCAGGGCATGATAGCCGCCATATGCATGATTTCTTCATTTATATACAGGAAGTTTAATTAAATGTTGTTACTTAACACACTTAATTACTTTTCCCCCCTAAAAGTAATGTTCTTTAATTTATTCCTTAAAAAAACAGAAGAAAAAATATTATGAGAGTTTAAATAATACTTCTACTTCGTATATATTTGGAGTTGAAAAAAAATAATGTAAAATCACTATCCTAGCTTAGGAGGTACGGAATATACAATTACTTTTGCATGGTCCCTTTGTTATTAACAAGTAGTATTCATTTTCTATTTCCAAATTTTGTTTAAAAAACAATAGTTAATTGATTATTAAAAGTTATAAAAAAATAAAAAAATAATAAAAACAACCCTTTTAATCATTATGTATACAACCTATTTAGTATTTACGTGTTAACTTTCATAAAAAAATTTGAAATATATTACTGATGACATACGAACCCTTAGAAAAAAAGTTTAATGACCGAATTATTTACTGATATTGAAAAGAAAAAAGGAATTAGTGCATAGATTTCATCGATCATATCTACATGGAGTACTTTGTATTTCGAATATGAAATTTCAACAGATTGATCTTATTACTCCGTATTATTTATTAACCTATTCAAGTTCAAAGAGTATTGTAAAAATCAAAATAATTGCAAATTTTTTATGAAAACATGCTTTGATCTTCAAAAAAAAAAAAATACAAAAATGAAGTAAATTCATGTTCAGTCAGCACTCAGCAGAATCCTGAGCTAGCTTAACTAGATATAGCATAGTACTCAATCTTTGTCCTTTGATATTCTCTCCTAATTAGCTTTTGTGGAGAAGAAAAAAATACTGATTCTTAAAGTTCATTCAAAACTTTGGAGAAAAAATGAAAAAAAAATTAAGGGTTATTTTTGTTTTTATTCAACTTCTCTTATACTTCATTCTTCATTCTACTTTTCACTTTGCAAATTTTTTTTTGTAATTCCTTGCTTTAATTTGAAGACCCTTACTTGTTTGCATTGCTTTAATTTTATAAAAGCTAATTTATGTCCTGAGTAATGTGGGGTATGTGGTCACAAAATGCATGGGACTTTGCAGCATAAAAACATATTCGTAGTCAGTAAAGAGCAATTAGTATTATGCTATATAATATAATCTTGGTAAGTTAATTATATTAATTTTATTACTAACCAATAACCATAATTGTCTTAGCTTATAAAAAGTTGAAAAGAAAAAAGGTAATCCACATTATAATATTTACAGATTACACCACTGTTAAATTTTTTGATATTATAACAATAATTTTGTAAGGTGTTTTTTGATTACGTGAGATGATCCCACCAATAATAGCCAATGGGGGACACATCAAGACATTCATTATCATCTTAATAATATCTCTCTTCATTTTTCACTTTCTCTCTCTTCCTTGCATGCATGAGGAGGCAAACCAGCCCCTCTTCCCCTTTCCCTCTCATCATTTCACCTTTTTTTTTCTTAAGCTCATCACCAAACACACGTACTACTATAACTATCTATCACAACAAGTACTCGGTTCAATTGATAACGGAGTTGTTCTACTTTAATCAAAGATTTAAGATATAAATCCTAATAATGCATGCAACAGAATTTGTTACGAAAACTTCAACACATGTATTATTTTCCAATTAAGGTATATATAAAGTATCTGAAATCACAACCAAATTAGTCGGAATTTAGCAGGCTTTGAACTATTGGGTGATGAGATACCCTACAAAAATAAAAATATAACAAGAAAGCACTAGTAGGAGCGCCACTAGTTAGCTAATACTAGCTACTACTACAACATGATACTGTAGTACATGTTGACAGTTCAAAGCAACACTAATAAGCTTCGGGGTTAAGGAAGTAAATTATAATAATAAAATAAAAAGGAAAAAAAACCCTAATATAAAAAAATGTGTAGTATTATTTATAATAAAAACAAAAAGAGGGAGAATAAAAAGGGGAAAACACACCCTCAAAAAACCCTTGTGAAGCTAGCAAAAAAGCTTTACTCTTGCTCCTCTCTCTTTCTATCTTAGCTTTGGGGTATTTGCTTTCCTTTCAATTTGTTTGGTGGTGCTATCTGATTATATCTCCTCTTTCATCATATACTTTGATTCTCCACCATATCTCCAAAGAACCCACCTTCCTCTTCTTCCATCAACCTTTTATAAAAGAAAGAACCTAAAAAAAAAAGATAGAAAGAAATTAAAGAAAGCAAGAATTAAAGATAGATATCAAAAAAATACCTTAATAAAAGAGAGACTATGGTTTTCTCTTCGGTTCCACTCTATTTAGATCCTCCCAATTGGCAACAGGTAATTTATTCATGGTTTTATTTTTCGACTTTGTATGTTCGTCTTTTTTTATCTTCCTACTTAATTTTAATTCAGCTTCTATTTCAAGGAAGAACAAAAAATAAAAGTTGATGAGAGATTATTATTCCCTATTCCCTATTCCCTATTCGATCTTCTTATGATAAATAACTTTCATTCATTTCTGAATATACCTCAACCATATAAAGTTGGGTGACTCTTTATTTTTATTTTTCTAGCTAGCTTTAATTAAATTGTTTGTACTAATATATGGTACTACTTGTTTTTTCATTTTATTGCAGCACCCTAATCATCAACAAGTTCTCCAAGGTAATAATAATGGTTCTGGTGGTAATCAACATGATCACCAAAATCATCAACAACACCTTCTATCACCACCACCGATGCCCGGCCAACAGCCGGGCCAGCCCCAAATGGGGATGGGTGGTGGTGGAAACCCTGGCGGAGGACCGGGGGCTCAGCCTATGCGCCCTAACTCGATGGCGGAGAGAGCCCGCCAAGCGAAGATCCCTCCACCGGAAGCTCCACTAAAGTGCCCCAGGTGTGATTCTTCAAACACCAAGTTTTGTTACTTCAACAACTATAGCCTAACACAGCCCCGTCACTTTTGTAAGGGTTGTAGACGGTATTGGACACGTGGCGGGGCCCTTAGGAATGTTCCGGTGGGTGGAGGATGTCGGAGGAACAAAAGGTCCTCTAGTAAATCCTCTGGAGGAGGAGGAGGTGGTGGTGGTGGTTCGTCGTCTTCTAAGTCCTCTCTCTCCTCTCCAACCGGGATGATAGGAGGGGAGAGAATACCTCTACATATGGATTTAGTAAGTACAAGTGGTCTTGGCCCTAGTTTCCCCGGCATGCCCTCGGCCGGGGGCGGAACCGGGATGTCGTCCTTCATGGCTTCCTTACAAAACATAGCTCAATTAGGGATGGGAAATTTAGGTCTCAACTTTGGTGGGGGCCTCAACACACCTCCTCACCCTCTAGGAGGGTTAGGAGGGTTGGCTGGGGGTGCTAGTGGTATTGGAAGTGAACATCCTTCTCATCATCAAATGGATTATCCTCATCAACTCAACCCGAATTTGAGTAATAATCAACAACAAGTACATCATCATCATCAATTCCCTAACTTCTTAGGGGGTTTCGAAATCCCCGGTGGCTCTTCAGCTGGTGCTGGATTATACACATCATCTTTTCAAAATGATCATCAAGGAATCGACGGTGGTGGTAGTGATGATCAACATCATCATGATCAAGATGATGATCAAGTCAATAGTAGTCTTCTCAAGAGCTGCTCATCAACTATGACATCACAACTCGCGCCAGTGAAGATGGAAGGTGATGGTCACAGACTAAATTTAGCCAAGCAATTTATGGGAATTTCATCTTCCGATCACAATAATAATAACAATAACAATAGCAATAACAATGCAACGGGTCATCAATTTTGGGGTGGTAATAACATTGGTAACAACTCGGCTACTCCTACTAGCATGTGGACTGATCTCTCCGGGCTTAATTCATCTTCTACTAGCCATCTCTTATGAATTATTTCGTAACTTATTGGTTCGTCGGTAGTAGCTAGCTAGCTATATATGTACTTGTATATTTTAGCTAAGCTAGCTCTCCAACTTGTTCTAGCTAATTTGTTCATCTGACTATATATTGGGCTTCGATCTTGGGAAGAAGATGATTTAAGTGTATGAAAGTCATTGTTCCATCCAAGAATTTCGAGATGACCGGCATATAGGTGATCAATGATCGTCACCACATCTTTCATCATGACAACTGCAGCTAGGGTTGAGATGTGTACTGTATCGTCGTCTCCCTCAGTCTCTCAATGCCATGATGAGATAATACTACTACTAGAAGTTAGTGATCCATATACTCTAAGCTCTTTTAATGTTCTTATTACTTCGTTTTTTTTTTTTTTTGTTCAATCCTTCCTTCAATTTCTTGTTGGATGTATGGTACTTGTATTTTGATTGTGGGGTGTGTAAGAGTTTTGAATCAAACCTTTAAACTTAGCTTTTGATTATAATTATTAATTCATTAAATTAATTTCTTCTTCGTAAACTAATTAATTTCAAGAGCCTATACATTCTGTTCACTCGGAATTAGCTAATTGTCATGTTGATTGTGTAATTTGACAGTTACTAGACTTCTATGGAGGCTGTATTATTTCTTGTACATGTTAACTAAGAACAAACCATGATAGTAAGATGATCATTAGTTCATTAATAAGATGTAAGAGATAAAATAGCAGTATGTATTACGTGGTAAATTGTACAACTCATGCTACTATGAATAAAGATACGCATTCAACAAAGTCATGGCTTTGAAGTACAAAATTGGCGCTTATTTTGCAAAAAAAAAAAAAAAAAAGAACGGAATTTCATCACGTTTGCTTTATATAGAAATTCCGAAACCCGAGAAAACAGATAGTTACACACAGTTCAAGGGGAATTTTCACAGAGATAGAATAGCATAGAGAGAGTATGGTTAAGGCGACGACGTTGAGATGATTCCAATGCAAGATAATAAGTTCGAAATCATGTTGTACGGAAGATTGTAAGGACAGTAGGTAAGTAGTTATTGCAACTAACTAGAGAAGCAAAATTGGCAGAAGTGTCATAATTTTGTTATAATAAGGAAGATTTGATGATAGTTAGTTATTTTAAGGTCAAGTACTTGTTTGTTGTTTGTTGTTGAGTGTGAAAGCCAAAGTTTTGAACAAGATTAAGTGAAAAACGCCAAATTTCCACTCAAAACCATGCAACATGAAATCTTTCTTCTTTCTCTTTCTTAACTGTCTAGTATGCACTGAGTAGTAATCAGTAGTGTTGACTGTGGAGAGACTTCTACTCTAACTATGATTTCAAAGTAATAATAAATTAATGTGAAATGTTCAATGATTTAGCGGCTTTGATAGAGGAGGATGATGGAAGGGTAAGAAAGTTAAATTATATTACTCGGCGTTTGTAATTCTGGTATGAGATGGGTGTATGATGATTAATTAACGGTCTTAATTACCTGGACTAGTCATTCATAAATGACCACATTACTTTAGGATGTTCAACTTGTTAATTATGAAAATAATGAATCGTTGTCTCCATTTGAATTTGACTGTCATAATTGCGTTTCAATTTACAGTGTTTAAAAGTAATATGAACTTAATTAAGACGGGTTAATGTAAAAACATGAGACATATATCGTTACTTAGAGTAGTAAGCAATGGTGACGAGTTGACAGGGAGAATCCTATAAATTAATTTCTCGTCAAAAAAGGGCATATACTTCATTATTAAGTTTTCTCTTATGGTTGCTACTGGGACCTAAAGCTTAAAAATTGCTCATTGCAATCCTACTCTATTATTATTTTCTATTTTCTTAAAAAAAATCTCACTTGATCTCTATTCTCTAATGGGCTAATTATTGCAATGTTTCCCACATTGCTGTTCAAACTTGACTCAATCTTTTTCAAACTTTGGGAAAGTTAGTTTCTAGGGGTAAAACATAAAAAGATATGCATCCAATTAATACATTTTTAATTAATTGTTTATTATTTTTATTTTTACTAATATTTAAAGACACCCACTTCATGGAAATAGTATTTAAAAAGTTGATAATTACACAATTATTATTTAAAAAAAAAAAATATATGGGTGGCTATGTCTATATTATGGTCTAAAAAGGGAGAGAGGAGGAATCTTGGATTTTGCTTTGCTTTAACGAGGACCAAGACAGTAGTATGTACCATCTCGATCTCTCTCTCTCTCTCTCTCTTTTGTGGGGATGAATGAATTGAAGAGGGTGAAACTAACTGTTAAATATAATATGGGATGCTTAATATGGAGAAAGACGTAAATGGTCTATAATAAGGGATAGTGAAAGAAGAGAAGATATGAGGTAACTAAAGAAAAATAAAGCGAAGATGTCGTTGTTGATTCATATTACTCTATTATCATGGTTGCTATGTTGAATGAAAGTGGATGGTACAGATGAAGAGAGCAGCAAAATCAATGGGGTGCTAAAATCTATGTTATGTACGTTATGCTAGTGTTACACTCCGTACTTTTATGTTGGTCTAAGTTATCGCGTACTTGTATGTAATAAGTTCGATCAGTAACCTTAAATCATATAGAAGTTGGTATTTTTAGTTTTTTACGGAGTTTATGGTGACTAATTACCTTGTTATAAACTCCGTGAATAAACTTGTTTTATGCAGCTTTTTTAGTCACGTAGATTGTCTTGTTGCTTAGTTTAATGTTGATGGCAGAGACATACACATCAACACATGGCCATAGGTAGGCGTGAAAATGTTCTACTGAGATCGTATGTATGCATCATAGTCCTATGTATGCAGCTTTCGCTTTTTGTTATTTGTATGTAAAAGGAGCATGTGTTTGGGTGACTCAGATTTGGTATAGTATATATAGTAGCAATTTATACTATACACTTATATAGTTATACTTAATTAGATTAAGGTCAGCATAATTAAGTACATTTCAATCCAGATGTTTTATGAAGTCTGGCAGTGGAGTCACTGGATTGTGCAGTTTAAACATTTTTGAAAAGCTTTGGCAGACCTATAGGCGTTTCAAGAACTTTAATTTCATGACTATGCATGTAAAACAAAACAAAACTATGCAGGTAGAGAGTGCGTTATAAAAAACGCTCTGAAAAAATAATGTCCCTCAAGCTTAAAGTCTGATTTGACCCGATCCACTCTTAAAGAAAGTAAACGACTAATATCCTTCTTGCAATTAATCCACACGTATATGTCAATATGTGAAGGTCGGGAGTACAAATATGAAATATATTACTTCATATTTTGTATACGTTTTATGTTAGGGAATAGTTTCATTGTAATTGATCAGTTTTATCATGTGATTGGTTTATAGTTATGGCACTACACACATCTTTAATGCAAATAATGAACAAATATATATATATATATATATATATATATATATATATATATATATATATATATATATATATATATATATATATATATAAACTAAAAATAAAAAAAATAAAAAATAAAAAATAAAAAAATGTCTATTCTATTCTATTTCATGTTATCCGGTCTACTTTTTTTTATCACTTCTAATGACAATAATGTACTACTACTTGTTATCTCAAATGATAATGTGATATTACTAATATATACATGTCAATTCTCAATCCTTGTCTGCACTAATCAATCTAGAATGTTACACGATTATATATTTCCCTATTTACCATATGATAAACATCAAAAGTTAGCCTTCACTAAGTAGTATACAGTTTCTCAGCCGCTTCTTCACTAACTAATACGGGTATTGAGTAATGGGTTCAATATGGTGCCTACAAGGCTACAAGTTAAACAAACTTTCATGCACTTGATAATCCTTCAAACCACATTTATATACGTATTGAAGAATTGATATATAATTCCAGCTTTAAGCACACCCGTACCCTTCTGGTATTATTATTGTAAACTATAATAATGGGCATATAAAAAAAATCGTAATTATAATAATTTATTACACATTACAAATGAACATAGCGTACATCATGTTTTCTGAAAAAGAACATTACATATAAAATAAAGAATATTACATATAAATATATGAAAGAACATTAATATTCTTTTATTTATATGTAATGTGCTTCCTTTACTATACTATACTATTTTTACTTGTTAGCATATAATATAATATAGTTTTAAACTCGCCTTATTATAAATCGATTTTCCTAAGTCATTCGTGCTGTTTTATGAACATCATATTAGAATCTATATCATTTCCTTGTAATTTTTATTTTATTTTATTTTTTTTTGGAATGGATCATTTCCTTGTACTTCGTTATATATACGAAATATTATATTTTGTGTCACTAAGCTATGTCTATAATGAATCATGTAATCAGCTCTTTGAGACTAAAACTTATATCCTCATAAATTAAAAATATAATTTTTTTTTTTTTTTTGAAACAACAAATATAAAATAATTTGGTTACAAAATAAAACAGTTTATATTAATTTTTTAATTTCTGAATTTCGCCAATTAGAATTTGCCGACAAAAACGTGCATAGAGCATAGTGAGCCCTAACTAGAAAAGAATTAGGGGTTCGACAGTGAAATACATGCGGATGAAGACGTGTTATGTTAACGACATGTAGCACCAACATAATTTGACCACATGTAAATTACTATTGGATAGTAATAGATGCCTACCTTTGTTTAAGCTTTAAGCTAAGGCTGATTACACCCCTAAATTATGCATACATATCCTTTAATCTATCATATAGTCTAATAATTGATTAGTAGATCATATTTAACTTTACAAACCTCCGGTTTTTTTTTTCCTTTGATCATAAAATGTCTCATAAGTAAATAATAGAAGGTAAACGGACAAATTAAACACCGATAACTTAACCCTTCTCTTTTACATTCTTACTCTATAAATGCGTGGAAAGTCATTAAAATTAGACATTACTCTTCTAACAAGGTATATGAGTACTTCCTCAAAAAAAAAATGTATATGAGTACTTTTTTTTACTTACAACAGAGGAAAACGGGTCAACCCAACAGTAACAACAGGCCAACAAGAACCGTACCATCAAATATGAACAATGGACCCAATTAGGAAGTAAACGGGTCAATAAGTGGGCCTAACTTTGAAACGGCTAAGCCCAATGGAAACATCAGCTTTAAAGGATAAATGTTCCACAGCATCAAGTGTCAACGCTCCGTTAACGCATTTGTTGGAGTCCCTACAAAGTACAAATTATGTCTTCTTCATAATGCAATTTAAATTTGAGGATAATATTTTTCACATAAAACCCTATTTTTTTTTTTTTTTTTTTTTTTTTTTTTTTTTTTAATGATTTTCTCTAACGAATTTCATGGAATATCATAATCAATTATGGAGTGGTGATTGAGGTCCTACAAAATCCAATGCACATGTAAAATCTAAGGGACAGTTGTGTGTGGGATTGTAAACCCCCAACCTACTTACAAGAAAATTGATTTTGAGACTTGTTTTTGATTTA